GGTGAGCAAACACTGATACCCACCGCGACCGCTAATTTGAAGACGTGGAGATAAATGACACCTTCTTTCCTAGTATTTGTTTTAATGATAAAGTGTCCTTATATGAACTGAGGATACCGATACGTACAAAAGAAAGTTTAGAATAAGATTAACCATATCTTAATATTTGCTGTAATAAAACGTGTTTAAGGGGATAATCGTGCAAACATTAAGTCTATTCTCTTTCTTGTTTAGCTCCTCCTTCTGCAACTTGGTGAAATATCTTCCTTTGTCTGTTTAAGAAAAGGTGAAAGAATTATTAAACTTCACAGATATTTTAACCACCAGATGGCACAAATATTAAACTTTTTTCTTTTATCGTATTTTGTTGTTCTCTGTTTATATGTAGCATATATATAAACAGAGATTCACTCGACCATGTGCCGTTATCCCCTTAAACATCAGAAAATTGTGTTATGAACGGATAATTGAAAAATAAATATTTGTCTTTATCCAAAATTTAAATAATGTCTCAGTAATCGGATAACAATATTTAAAAAAAAGGTAAAAAAGAAAACACAAAAATCCTCAGTTAAGCTTTAGCGCTTTCATTTTTCAATCTTCAGAAGCTTACAATAGTATCTACTATTGTAAGCTTCTGAAGGAAAAATGAAATTAAAAAAATTTTTGTGTTTTCTTTTTTACCTTTTTTTTAAATATTTGTCTTTATATACACTGTAGGAACCAATAATTTAAAATCTTTAATAACTAAATTTGCATAAATATTATCACAATCATCTCCAACTGATGAATAGTTGTAGAGTGCTGCGAGATTAGCGGTTTGGTCGTTGATTGAAACACTACAATGTCCGCAGAGCAGTGTCAAGTTAAAGCCCAGTAGATTCTGTCGTGTCGAGTTGTGATCTTTCTGTAATCAACTCATCTTTTGTTTCAATAAACAAACCTTTTGTTTATCATTTCGATAAAATCTTGTTACTAAACACTACACAAAATAGTTGTAAAGTAGCGAGGTAGGTGACTAAAACCCTATCCGGCCCCAGTAACACAACAGATCTCTGTGGTGATTTGTCTCAGATACCAGTCTATGAGATTGGAATTTTTTTTCGTGATAGGCATGTTCGCTCTTGAAATTCTCGAACAATATTGAATATTTGATTCAGAGTAATAAGTAGTCCCAGAGAACATATAACAGGAAAACCATGAAAAACAGCTTCAAAGTAAGAAAAAATTGAAAACTAGTTACAAAGTAAGAAGAACCATTATTTAAATAGCTTTCCAAAATGAAGAACAATATGAAGCAGTGTCTACAAGAAACAAACCCTGGAATTACATGTAATTCAAGCAGCATAAGAAGGCAGGAAAAATGCAGATTTTGACTTACCAATAATGGAGTTCAAAGACATGGTCACATCAAAAGCTATAAACATATTGAATCATATTCATTACGCACGTTGCCATATTCATAAATAATTAAAATAACTGGCTCTATATCAAGGTCTTCTTAAGTAATTGCAAGGATCTTTCTCCACTTTTCATGACCCTATCACGTCGAGAATGCAGAGAGCAATGCTCCAAAAGATACTCATATAATTAATTAAAACCAGAGAAAATAACTGACCAGTAAAAAGCGAAAAATACTTGGCATACCTGGCTCATTCTTTGATATACAGATGTTAAGTGATTCAGTAAATTTCAAAATTTATTACAAATTCTAATATCTAGATTAGATGACAAATATTATTGCTTAAAGGATGACAAAAGGATAAGATGGACTCAAGAACTGAGGAAAGGGCCTGCATACATGTCAATGTCAGAATCAGAAATCCCATTGTCCACACTTTGGATGGTATGTAAACATTGTTACACAGATAAGACCATGGTCAATCGGCCATTATAAGACTCTCATTGCCATACTTTGACGAAGATGATCCCACTTTCAATGCTTAAGAACTTCAAAGGTTTCCTGGACTATCAATTAAACTGCAATATTTTCACTCAGTTAGATAACGCACAAGATTGGTCTGATTCTACTTGGAATTACAATTTGTTTACGGTAACCATACGATAATAACAAACACATTTATAATGAAAATAAGAATTATTTATTTCAGGTATCCATGGACACCTGACACATAATTCAACAACAAGAAAATGTAAAACTCTTTCTTTTTATGTCTGTCAAGCCAGATTGTATTGATGAATTGGTAGATTTGACAGCGGGGCCACTGAGAAACACGGTATCGAAATCGCCCTGTCAAAGCTGTTTGCAGTGAACTTCATATTTCAAATCTCTGAAATGCTCACTTAAGTCTGTGCAAACCTCTTACCTGGGTTAATCAATACCCAAGAACAATTTGGGCCTGGGATGTGGTATAAAAAGAATGTTCTTCTGTCACTTGATTGTCCTTTGTTTTTTTAAAAACAATATTTTTTCAATATTACCAAACTGACCTCTTTTCAATTACCTCTTTTCAATTATGATTAATGATATAAAAGATTACCATGGCCAGAGCAAGATCAGCAACACGTGGACATAAAAAAGAAATCGCTATTTCAGTAATATTTAAAATTCATCCATTCAAGAATTTTCCTATTTTTCATTATACATATGTAATGAATATTCACCTTATCTTTCTTCAAAGTAAAGGGCATAGCACCACATATTTGATAAATTCATCCGTTGAAAAACTTGTCAAAAGAAAAGATATGAAACATTTCATATTTCATTTAAGCTCTGGGCTAAATATTGATAACAATATTGGTTACTTGGACAACAGTTTCAAACACCATAGGTACCTTTTAGCTAGCGCAATGATCTGGGAGGAAGTATTCCATGGCTTTAAATCTCTTAATCCTGTAATCCCGTTTATCTTTTTCATATCCCTCACTTTTCATGGGTGAAATTTTAAGAGGAGTTCAATCTTTGGATGACAGTTGATAATCTTTTTTGGGAGGATTACTCGATGCAGTGAAATATGAGTGTTTACCCAAGCGACAAGATGGCATTTACTTTTTCTTGTTTAGGGTACATTAAACAGTCTAATCCTAGCAGAGAACATCAAGAGCTGAAAACCAGCAACAATTAAAGGGAAGACAAGATTTTTACTAAATACTACTTAAGTTTTCTTACATTTTTATATTACTTTATATATCACTGATTCATCATTCAAATTATCGATAGAAATGTTTTGTTTCCTTTCAAATACTAGTATCGTTCTCCTCGCGTAGGATTTCTTTAGCATAAATTAAAAAAAAAACAAAAAAATATATATAAGTTTTTATTGCATGGGTAAGGGGGTTGGTGGAAAATCATGAATCCAGTAATTTTTTTATAATAAAAATATTTAAAGATAAAAACTGCATTGTCCATATACATGTGTGTATACATGTATTGCAAAGTTGTTTCTATAAGCAACAAGCGCACTATAACAATATGTGTAACTTAAATTACTCTTTCCAATTCTTAGTACAGGAAACATCATTTGAAAATGTTACATTGTGTGGAATTACTCATTTGAATACTACGCACATACAGTTCCTTCATGATTATTTGATATAAATCTAAATATAACCTATATATTCCGAAATTCATAACCTTAACATAAATATTAGAGACGATCATTAATGATTTCTTGATTGTAGTCCAAATTCTGACAGCTCGCGCTTCGTCTGAGTTTGGCTGGAACTTGTCCCAATAGGTTTTGCAACATTTATAAAAGCACTATGCCCCAGTCACATTCTCTTAAAACAAAGGGTGTAAACAACAGAGATAGCCATGTTGATTGTTCTCTTGCTATCTCCATTTTCAAGATCTCGCAAATGATGGGATTTTGCGATAATTCGTTATTTGAAACCGTTCAAGTGCTGGCGTTGGATACAAAGTCTCAATGTGGGAACAGATAACGGCTCGACACCGTTATTGTCTTTTTGTTTCTTTACTATAGAAAATCACGGTAGAATCCATTATAACGGACAGACACAAGTATCTAAAAATGTCAGAAAAAAGTAGTTCACATCACATAAAAGTGTGTTGTTTTAACTGTGATGAACAAATTGTTGCAAAACTTTTTTTTCAAATTCAAGTTGTCACTTATTGTCTATGGTGTTAACTTTTCTTTTTTCAACTCTAAGGTCTTGGGATTCAAGTGGCATATTCCTTAGTGTTTTATGTTTGAGATTATCTCTTTTCACAGGATATATAAGCAATTTACAAAATCTTCATATTTTCCCCGGAGAATTCTATATACCATCGGTGTTTGCAATTGCAATCTCATTTTATTAATCATGCCAGATATTTACATGCCGTCGGTGATTTTTGGCGTTAATTAAATGGACCGAAGGGGAAACCCTTTGATATATTTTAGAAGACATTAAGTGTTAATGATAAATCAAATATTTATTTCTTATTGCAAATATGAAATAATGTCAACTAAAGATATATATGTTTAATTGGAATATATCGTAATAGATAAGATAAATATTTGCCCCTATTTTGTAAGTATACAATAAAGTCAACTCAAAGCAGGAAAAAGTATGCAAAATGGATTTCTTTAATATTTGTGTTTAAAACACACTTTAACGAAAATCCAACTTAGTTGATACTTGTAATTGTCGACATCACGAAGTTAAGTACGTCTATAGATTAAACTTTGTCCAAAAACAATTGAATCCTCATATAAAATCAAAATTTCTTCAGGTAATTTATATACACCGAGGAGAACTGAATAAATAAAACTTCTCTCGTTTTTTAGTGTTCACAACAAATTAAATTTTTACAGCAGGTTGTCTCATTGCAGAATACCAGTATTCAGATACTGTACAATCCATGTAAAGTAACAACAAATGAATGAAAACATGTTTATCCTAGAACCTTTATGGATGAACATCTTTTCTACTTGCCCTTCATTTTCATTTTCATTTTAGTCATAATCATATGCTTAATAAATTCACATTTCAATTTTCCCTTGGATTTAGCTTCAGGTGCATTCGATTGCACTTACCTTAAAAAGTGGTCAATGGAAAATGTTATCTTCAATAAAGCCAATCTTTACCATCCTTCTGAATTCTATATCTTAGGGTTCTCTATACAAACGTTGCCTTCTAATATACCCACCAACTTTTAATGAAAAGAAAACAGTTTGCATTCTGTGGCAATAAAAATGAAAGAAACTACTTTGTGTCATCTCGTTTTATGCACGAAGCTGCGATTTGCATTGTTAATTTGTTGAAAAAGTCTTCAAGAAGTCTCAACCATGCATTTAAGCATTCAGAACTGTAAAGCTGTAGAAAGTGTTGAGTCGTGCCATATCTGGATATCCTATTTAATGTTGTCATAAAAATTGTCTTAAGCAATCACAAAATTGAAAGGATTTTCGTTTGAAAATTTATGTACATTGGAAAATAGAAATTGCTGGGTACCAGGTATGTCTCTGACTACAACTCCATTACAAACATGGCTACTTAATGTCTAGGCCATTCTTGTTACATATAGATAAGATAATTATAGAATAATCAAATGTTTAAAATTAAGAGAAATTGTTTAAAGAGATACATAACACACATAAAGGATACGTTATCTGAACTGATGAACTAAAAGACATGGCATATGTTTTTTGAATTTGTTGTAAATAAAAATCTAAATCTTATTTATCATTAAGATCAATTTTCTTTCGTACATAATTCTCTTTAAATAACCTTAAAAGATTATGCAAACGTAGACAAAATGAAATGCATCTTTATTACGTAAAACGCATATATCAAAGTCTATTCAAAAGACATCGGAACAAATTCATAATTTCCTGTAACGGTTGACTGTTTTGGAGAATATCATACTCATATAAATGATAAGACCGAAGATTATTTCATCACCTTACATGCTGCCAAAACCGATGACAAGAAATGGTCACACATGAAGGAGGGTTATTAGGAACAACGCTAAACTCGAGACTCTAGAGGGATGATGCCATTTAATTTTTGATGCCATTAAATAGTAATGTTAAAGTCAAAGCCTTGTTTTCTTAACACTAAATAAAGATGTGATTAGATTCTTTAAAAATTAATAAGGTATATTGTAATTATGACAAAAACTTAGCTACCAAATATTTACAAATAAATGTGTTACATTTCTCTATTTATGTTTACTCCTCTGTATCTAGGGTTGATCACTGGTCCTTGTTCTTGCGTAGTCTTGTCCTCTGTTCATCTTTCATGCAAATTCATACGCATTTCATGTTAAAGTTTTTCCACTATATGCTTATTTTTAAGAATTCAAACAAATTTAAATATAAGTTCAAACAAATCTCCATATGCATTGGAGATTTAAATTTTTTATTGAAGTTTAAATCCGTAAAGCAAGACATTTCAGAAAAAAATGTTGGGACTATTTTTAAAGGGCGTAAGGAATGCGTAAAGAGGCTAGGGTATAAGTATCCGGACAATTTATTTCACGTGTAGTTATCTTAATTTATTAAATAAAAGGAGGGCTAGGGCCTGATTCGTGAATTTGCTAAACACAAATCAACAAAATGAGGGAAATTGTTCATATGCAAGCTGGTCAGTGTGGAAACCAGATTGGTGCTAAGGTTGGTTGTTTAAATAAATTCTTTTTTAAATTGAAAAAGACACTTTTTTTGCAAAAACTATTTTTAAAGTGAGTTCTTATACTCTGCATTTAATAAGTTTTGTTGTGTATTAAATCAAAAAATCAAAGAGACAAGAGATATTTTTTGATGTTCAACTTGCTAATTCATTATAAGTATGAGAAAGAGGAATTATTTCCCTAAAAATTTGAATATGCTCAAAAATCTCATATTATTTATGTATCTTCCTCAAAATTTAGAGATTAATATTATACAAAATCATAAACAGAAGTATCAGTCAGTAATGATAATATCATTTACATTAAAGAATGAGGACCAATTGCATAAAACTTTCAATTGTTTCCATCAATATCTGGTGATAAAAAGTACGATTTTCAATTTTTATTTATGAATGATTCAATGAAAAAATAAACATGGCATACATTTCAGATTAACTGACAATATAATGTCTAAAAATATCCATGCTCTTTTGATTGCTCGAAGAACTAATTCACAGTAGTTATAATTGTACATATGTATACAAGTTGTTGTTGGTGTGTTAGCATTTAATTATTGCCTTTTAATGAACGATGTGTTTAGAAGGCAACTTTGACAATACACAAAACAGGGTGTAATGTATGTGTTGCTAATGGGTTCAGGAACAAACAGGTAGTAGATAATCAGTTGTAACGGGGTACTGATACCAACAGTCAGGCCAGGGGCTTTAAATCCCCCCTATGTAACATTTCTGATTATTTCTTATCTTTTATCAAACGTTTCACACATCCGACTCTGAACTGATTGTCGTTTGGATTCAGATGCCGTCATTCACGACGCTATAAACAACAAAACTGAACAAACGCGGAAACCTGACATTGATAAATGCACAGAAAAAAAGTTGGATCAATTATCAAGTGATATATTCGGGTAGATAATATAAGTTTGTACAAGAATTAGAGGGGATTGTAAAAGAAAGGGTAGATAAAAGCTTGCCGCGAGAAACAACTAAGCATATTTTGTGTAAACTGAGCAATAACGGTAATCTAGAAGGGTGCTGATTAGCCAATGGAAATCTGATTTTATGAGAATTCTTTGTAATACTCTTATGTTTCAAATGATTTCAAGCATGTGTGATTTTAGGACAATGATGCGACACAATAACTTGCCGGCATCCTGACCTGAATCGCCGGTGCACAATCCCCGCTCCTGGGCTTTTAAATCAATGTCATTCCATTCAATTCCAGTGTCTTCCTGCTCTAATCCTGGGAACAATTTACCAGGGATTACGTGATAAGCGCTGAAAATATGGCAGGGCATAGTTCAGTTTCAAAAAATAGACAAATACCAATATCAATCGATATCCCAAATCTAGACTTCTACAAAAATAATATAAGGTTTAAAACTTTTTTGTAGATTTATCTAAAGGATAAGTTTTTGCCTATATTTTATATTATGAGTTCGGTAAAAAGGGAGTTAAATCAAGCATTCTAAAGGAAGTTCTTCAAAAGACCCTCAAACAATTATCTGGTATTATATTGAAATCGTGTTTGCAAAATAAACGACAAACAAAAGTATCTACAGGTTCAGACTTCTTAATTGAAATTAGGACTAAAGTTTGTGTCAACCCTGAGAAAATTGTTATACGTTCTCTAGCAAAGATAGTCAGAAACCTCAATTCTTTAGTAAATATTGTCTTAAGTTATAAATGATCAAGGCAAATACCTAATCCGTCTTATTGTTAGGAACCACTTAACAATGATGTTCTAATGTCAAAAAATAATATTATCCAAATAGAGTAGCACTTATATTGGAATCAAAGGTTAATGTACACGAGAAATAAATATATAATTGTTTAATCAACCATGCTTTTGCAGGGCAGGTGAAATCATTGACTTACATTTTACACTCAATTATGTTTAAGGTTGTTCAATTAATCATAATTTGGATATTTTGAAATAAGCACAAAAATACAATTACTAGAAAAACTGTGGGCGATCTTTAATTTTAAAAGTTTGTTGCAGTTACCGAAAATAATAATTTACTTCGCAAATTCCAATATTACCCCGCAAACATTTTGAACAAGTGCACCAATAACGAACAACAATATATAGCAAATACCTTTAATAAATTTAGATACATTTGATACAACATAACAAAAGACGGTTGCTCTTTCTATTGTAACTTACTCAATCGAAGAGACCCTTACGTTAGTTCTGACAATTAGATCTAGATATGCTGACATTGCGTGCGAGACCTCAGTCCTGATCTGTCGTTATCTTTGTATCACTGAATAAAATTTGTCACCAAGGAGACGAAAAGGGATTTCGGTACTCATTGAAAATAAAATCTTCCACCACGCAAAAAAGAAAACTTTTTGCTAAATTAGGCGTACTTAATAAGAAAAAAAAATGCTATACGTCGGAAGATGGAAAGTGTCAAGTAGAACAGAAAAAAATGTGATACCGTTTAAATAGTGAAAGCAAATACAAGATATTTGACCGCGAGAAATCAACGAGATTTCGCCTCTCAGTGACGTGTTCGAAATAGAGATAACAAACCAGTGACAACTCATAATGATAATAATTCATCTGGTTTGAAACTTTAATTTTCTCCATTTAACAAGGGTTTCGACAGCTCTTTCAACAGATTTAAGGAGATAAAATTACACTTTCACGTTTATCAAAAAAGAGACAAATATTGAATTTAAATGCGAAAAACTTTGCTGTTTATCAAAGTAAAGTAGGATGTGTAGCTTGACAGTTTATATAACAGTCCCGTAGTTTTATGTACCTAAACACAATACACGTGTAAACATCTTTTAAAATTTAAAACATTAAATATTTAAGTTTAACACATTTTGAAGTCGGGCCTTTAAAATATGAGATGTTATTTGGGTTTTAATTGAAACAAGCTGCTGTTTGATATTGGGTGATGTTAACGACACAAGTTCATTCACGACATCTCTGAAGACAATGTAAGAGGCGGCAACCTGTCAAAGGCTTGTTCCTTAACTTCTTCATTGTTTAGACCACCTCGCACTCTTTATCTTCGAACCAAAAATTTAAAATCCCGTATCAAAGAATCTTTTTTTCTCTCAAAGAATCGCAAATACACTGGCGATTTGGTGATGATCACAGATTTGTTCTCTGATTGGCCAACTATTGTGCCTGCTTACTTGATGGAAGAACGATAACCGGTGATAAGCTTTTATAACGGATGCGAGGATTTGAATGAAACAATGATATTCTGATTTAAAGATTGTTTAATAGTTGTGGTCCTTGGTAACGCTTATCCTTCGAATTTAACACTTACACCAAACAAATAATTCTAGAGTTTATTCTTCGTACTCCTCCAAAGTCAGTAAAACTTATTGACATTTTGTCTTAAATTTAAACATCATAATTAATTTAATTTTAAAAAAATATTTAGCATAAAACTGATCAAGGGAATTTATAAATAATTTTTCTTAAACAGTCTGAAGGGGTTCTAGATTAAAGCTATGAATATATTTTTTTATTAATGAATATCTGTGTTGCTAATAAATTCATAATTTTTAATACCTTTATAGCAACACAAGGACTGATTTGAATTTGCCAGTAAATTGATAAAAAAAATTAACAAAGACAATTTTAAATTATCACAAAATACCCCAGTCTCTTTCTTTTAGCTTTAACTTATAAGAATGGTCTTTCGTTCTTATTGTAGTTCTGGGAAGTAATATCAGATGAACATGGAATTGACCCCACAGGAACCTACCATGGAGATTCAGACCTGCAGCTAGAAAGAATCA